TTAATCCTAATGTTAATGCTAATGTTAATTTTAATCTTCATCATAACGTTAATGCTAATCTCAATCCTAATACTAATTATAATCTCATTATGCATCTTAATCATTATCATAATTCTAATACTAATACTAATAATAAGCATAATCTTAATCTTAATTTTTAACACTAATATATGCTAATGGTAAATACTAATATGCTAACGCCAATGTTAATATTAATCTTGATATACTAAACTCATATGTTAATGCTAATGTTAATCTTAATCATGATTCTACTATAAATCATAATCCTAATCTTATTCCCAATCACAATCCTAATTATAATATTAATCTTAATGACGATGAAGATCCTGATCCTAATCCTAATGTTGATCCTAATTCTGATCCTAATCAGAATTCTAATCATAATCTCAATGGTAATCCTAATCATAATTCTAATATAACTGTAATCCTAATACTAATACTAATTATAATCCAAATGTTAATCCTATTATTAATACTAATCTTAATCCTAATACGAATTCTAATACTACTCTTGATCCTCATCATGATCTAAGTACTATTCCGAATCCTAATCATAATACTAATAGTAATCCTAATATGTTGATGGTAATTTAACGTTCATCCTTATATGCTAATATGATAATGTTTATTATAAGTTTATAACTATAATATGCTAATGTTAATACTAATATATCCTAATGACATTGCTAATACAAATCCTAATATGCTAATGTTTATACTATGCTAGTGCTAATAGTAATATGATAATGATAATACTAATGCTCTTCGTAAAAGGCTAATGTTAATGCTAATCATAGTCCTAATCACGATCATAATTCTAATCTGAATTCTAATCATAATCATAATCGTAATCCTAATCATAATCATGATATTGATCATAATCTTAATCACTATCTCGATCTTAATCTTGATTGTAATCTTAATGCTGATCTCAGTAATACTAATACTACTACTAATATGTTAATTGTAATTTAATGTTAATCCTCATATACTAATGTCAATTCTAATACTAATACAATAATAGTAATACTAATATGCATTAGCCAATGCTAATATTAATCTTAATATACTAATATTCTAGTGGTAATACAAACCGACTAATGTTACTGCTAATAAAAGGGTCGTAAAGAATAATTAATTGATTAAATTCGGTTAACAATGATTAATATTGGATTATTATATAGATAAACAATACAATTTTTAATATAATAATTGTTTCATTGTTATCCCATATAACTAAGCCAATATATATTATTTTAATTTAGGTATATATATGACCCACTAATAGGGGTGAAAAGTAGAAAATATAAAAACTCCCTAATAGGGGGAAAGTGAGATAATAAACTACCTATCTAAGGAAAAACAAAAAATTACTGAAATTATAAAATGGCCCAGCCAGAGCAGCTAGTCAAACTGGTGAAATAACAAATTGACCCCAAGTCAGGCTCTGGTTTGATTACGCTAAATATGAAGAATTAGCGTGTGTGAAAACAAAACACTTTGATCGCATAAAACAAATAATATTTGAAACATAGTTGTAAATCTAACGATAATATTTGGTAGGTTTTTTATACAATTAAAATTTTATTATATTGCAAAACGAAATCCTAAGCATAATTTTAAATAAGAACCTCCTAACGGGTGAAAAAGAAAAACTATAAAAACCCCATGATGGGGTGAAAGTGAGATAATAAACTACCTAATTAATGAAAAACAAATTTACGTGAATTATAAAATGGCCTAGCTAGAGATGCTAGTCACACTGCTGAAATGACAAATACACTTTGATAAATATGAAGAATTAGCGTGCATGAAAACAAAACACTTTGATCGCTTAAAAAATAAAAATTGCAATATAGTTCTAGATCTGACGATAGTATTTGGTATTTTTTGTTTTTAATAAAATTAAAATTTTATTAACTTGCAAAAAGAAATACTAAGCAGACTATTACACAAAAATAAAAAACCCTTATGAGGTGAAAAATGGAAACTATAAAAACCCCCTAATAGGAGGTAAAGTGAGATAATAAACTATCTAACTAAGAAAAAACAAAATTATGAAATTATGAAATGGCCCCAGCCAGAGCTGCTAGTCAAACTGGTGTAATTACAAACTGACCCCAAGTTAGGGTGAAAGTGTGGTTACGCTAAATATAAAGAATTATCGTGTATGAAAACAAAACACTTTGATTGCATAAAACAAATAATATTTGATATATAGTTCAGAATCAGAAGATAATAATTAGGTTCAAAAACCAAATTCAAAGGTCGAAGCACATAATGTTGCAGATCCAAAGATTGAAAATCAGAATTGATTTTTTTAACAATCCGTCCATACCATATATGTGGATCATATCCATGCATTCTATACAACAACGCAAGGGCTTCTTTCGTGCCGATGTCGCC